GGATTACATTTCCAACATGTAAATTTGGGGGACACATCAAGACCCTAGCAATGATCAGTACCTAGATCCACTTTTCATCAGAAGTTGCAGAATAGCAATATTCCAATGCTATCATTATGTCTTCATTTATTAGCTGAAATACTTACATAAAAAGCAAGTATTTGAATATCCAGTGAAACCGCACTACAAGAAAACATAGAATAGATGAATTATTGCTGCTTTCCTTTATAAGGTTTCCAAATAATAAGATGGTTCACTGGTAGCTTTCTCCTTGCTTGCTGGTTTCATTATCATTATACATTCATGCATGTATTGCTGTTGCTATCTTTATTGAGGCTCCCACTGTCCTGTCTTTGGCGAGGAGGAGCATCGTGTCGCCTCCTAGGCCCTCTGGCCCACCCAAGTAATCTTTCAAAACTGCTCTATTTTCTGATATGACAGGATGACTCCATACATTTCCTGTACAGACTTGTATTCAGGCATTTCTCTAAGAAGCTCTGATCCCCTCAAATGAAAAAATGCTATTTCCAGAGCATAGTCTGGATTGAGAAATGCTGAGTTACTGGGTTGGTCATTGATTCTAGACCTTTCCTGTGAATATACACGGCAGTTTTTCTTCCCTCTTCCTTTTTTAAAAACTAAAACATATCAGGAATTAATTTTGACATGTCTAAACTGAGGACTATCCAATTTTTGTTCATTCTCCTTTAACTTATATCTGTACACTTTTTCTTCTATACTAAGAATACTGGGTACTCAATGACACCAGGAATGACAGAATTAAGAGTATTATAATTTCTCATCTCTTTCATCCTGTAATACCCACCCAAAACTCTAAGATTAACAATACCAACAACAAACAGTTTCAGGGTACTTACCGTTAGGCAGTTCTTTTTTTCCTTAGGATACATCTCCCTTTGTTTGTACAAATTGCTTAAAGTTAATTGAAATAGTTACTCTTGTTACATTTAGGCTACCGACTAAAAATATATTTAAGGTCAGATATTTCATATTCATTTTTTGTTTTTAAAATTGAAATTTATTAAATGTATGAATATTAATATTCCTTTGAAATGTTTACTGTAAAAATTAAAAATTCATCATTTTATAATTATGTAAAAGATGATATAGTTCCAACCTCAAATATACAGAAGAAAGGAAGTAGTATGCATCTAGTTTCTATTTTACTTTCTCCATCCCATGCTCTCCCTTCTCCATAGGTATGTAGGTAGGTAGGTAGGTAGGCAGGTAGGTAGGTTTGGAGCCAGAGTCTCATTCTGTCGCCCAGGGTGGAATGCAAGGGTGTGATCTCGGCTCATTGCAACCTCCACCTCCCAGATTCAAGAGATTATCCATGCCTCAGCCTCCCGAATACATGGGACTACAGGCGTGTGCCACCATGCCCAGGTAATTTTTTTGTATTTTTAGTGGAGATGGGGTTTCACCATGTTGGCCAGGCTGGTCTCAAACTCCTGACGTCATGATTCGCCTGCCTTGGCATCCCAAAGTGCTGGGATTACAGGTATGAGCCACCGCGCCCAGCCTGGATTATCTTACTTAACTTTCTCTTTTCTTACATTTTTATTAACTAGTAATCACATGTTTGTCTTCTAGTTTAAGGGTGTTATTCAGGATATTGTTCAATATCCTGAATAAATAAAATATTTCTCAAGTTTTAAGTTAACTGCTATTTTGACTACACAAACAATGATGTAAATTTAATTCAGGATTTCTAACCATGGCACTACTGATATCTGTGCTGCAGAGTTCTCTGATGTGGGGCTGTCCTGTGCTTGTAAGGCGTGTACTAGTGTCCTTGACCTCTACTCAATGCCCAACTCCACCAGTTGTCACAACCAAAACTATCACCAGACACTGATAAATGGTCATTGGAGAAAAAACACTCCTGTGGTTGAGGAGCAATGATTTAACTAAATCAGCGATCTCTCTGTATTTTCTACAAAAAAAGCTCAAGGCTAAATTAAAAGCAGCTTCTAGGGAAACATAAAAAGACCTCAAGATGAGAATTCTATCTATGAAAACCATCTAGGCTTTATCTTAATACCCAAACTTCATATACATTTTTCTACAGAAAAAAAAAATACATACTCTATATATTTTTCTCAATTTCCACCAATTCTTTATGGAACAAAGGAGATGAGTGAATTCATTCATTGGAAAACACAGGAAAGTGACCACCCCTTCTTTAAGGCAAAAATTAGAAATTTATTTATCTAAAAGCCTTTATCAGTCATGTACCCAATTAGTGTCGATTATCCTTCAGTTAAGCAAATCTCTACATATTGTTGGCTTCTTTCTTTTCATATCTGTAAAGAGTTATACTACTAACTATTTACTACTAACTATAGCTCCTTGATAGCAAGCGCTAGGCCTTATTAACTCAACCCTGGACTCACCACCTAGCACAAAGCATGGCCAGTACAGACAAACTCATGTTCTATGTCTGAATGAACATCATTAATGCACTATGAAAAATCACCTTGACAGGTGACTCATGTGTGATGCATTATGTTCACACAGTTATGGACCTGTGTATAGTAGATGCTTAACCCAATGCCTGCCAAGACCTGAAAATCTAAACCTTAGCATACCAAAATGAGAACAAGAAAATAAGATTTGCATATTCTCCCACTGGTGGCTGCAAGACAACACATATGTTTCAAATGTAACTTCTTTTTCTCAATAAAAACAAGATAAAAATAGATATTTGTTTAAATGGTTTAAAACACCATTTAAATTTTAACACATAATGCCAGTCAAATGTGGATGGTTATGAATTAGAAATTTTGTTGAGTCCAGGGCAGTCAAAAGGTAAAAATTGATGGAAAGTATGTCAATCAAATTCATAAATCAACATAAAGGAATTAACCTTTGTTCTAATATTTTTTATGGTTCAGCTATATTAAAGCTACATATTGCTTTAGAAAAGATACAAGTACAACACTACGACAATAACACAACAGAAAGTTCTGTATTTAAGTACATACATTACGGTGTTATTACTCAAATAAAGACACTATTTTCCAAACTTCTGGTATCTGAAGACCTGAACAACTATTTAATTAAAATTTTCCAAGAGTCAAATTTAGGCAGTCAACATTGTATACACAGGATCATTCCAAGCAGATATCCACTAAGTCGTAGCTTTAATGAGCTAGTAAAAAATCAACCAGGGTAACTAGTGTATCACCTACACATCATTTTGTATACCCTTTACGGTACATGCCTCACCTTTTGAAAAACACTGCCCAAAGCAAATCCAATGTAAGACTTTTTAAACAGTATATCCTAGTAAACAAAATTATTTTCACAAAATTAGTTTCTTGCATATGTGCATAAATAAACCTAAATCTCTTGCATATAAAAAATATTCAACTAAAACAACTTATAGGTTCTCTTCCACCCCAAGCATCCTTGGAAACACATCATTGTATCTGAGTCCGATCTTGTCTGGATGATAGAAAGCAACTGTAGTAAGTGGATAGCACTGGTCTGCAGCTGCACGCAATCCTCTAGAGCATCACTTACATATCCCATCTTGAACGATACCTTCTAAATTCTCTACACCTCTGTATGGCACACTTGTCCTGTGGGTTCTGATGGGCTAACAGACCTCTAACTGTTAAACTGCTCTTCTTTCCTTGTTCTCTTTATATGTATCTTCAAGGGACAACAGAAGCAGAAGTAGTTTGTAAACATCTAGAAGCAAATTGCCAAATTACTACAGATTGCTATCAATGCAAAAAACGGGAATTAGGATGCATTTTCAGAAGAATAAATTATACATTCTAAATATTATCTACCGATATTCTATATCCTAAATATATATATAATTAATACATATTATTACTCATCTATTTATAAAGATCTACTGAAGACTACCAATCACTTAATACACATAAGACCCAAATTTTCTACCTGAAAAAACTGAAGTGTTTCCAAATAGATGTACCTAAAAAATAAATAATCCTTTTTTTCCCCCTCACTCTGTTGCCCAGGCTGGAGTGCAGTGGCACAATCTCAGTTCACTGCAACCTCCACCTCCATCCTCCAATCGTTCAAGCAATTCTCTTGTCTCAGCCTCCCAAGCAGCTGGGATTACAAGCATCTGCCACCACGCCTGGCTAATTTTTGTATTTTTAGTAAAGATGGGGTTTCACCATGTTGGCCAGGCTGGTCTCAAACTCCTGACCTCAGGGGATCCGCCCACCTCGGCCTCCCAAAGTGCTGGGATTATAGGCATAAGCCACCCCGCCTAGACAAAAAATCTTTTAAGCTTATACATTTATTGAAAGTGATCTTCTAACTCTTAACAACTGCTCAATTACAAGATTATACAACTAAAATCACTAAATACTTGTAGTAAAAATACCTGACTTTTATGAGCACCTTCCAAGAATGGCTAACAGAACTCTTAAGGCAAGTATCCTAGATCTGGAATACCAAGGGTCCTAGGATTCCTCATATAGGACTCACTATGTCCATATTCCCCTTCCCTAAAGAGGTATTCTGCTCACCCAAATCTCTGAAGATAACTTTGACAGGGAGGTCTCTTCTTCCCCAGCTCTTCAGATAAAGTTCAAATAATATAAATGATGGTTGTAACAGAGTTGACTATAATGAATGATGCCATGTTTTGTTTCAATGCAAAGCTCTTTGGTCATTTCTACTTGTTCTAGCATTCAGATAAATATACGGAAAGGAAAATCTAAATAATTTAACTTGAACTATTGTCCTTATTTACAGTTAGTGAGTCACGGAAAGTCTACTAGTCAAAAGCAAAGTAAGCCTAATCTATTACAATGTAAAGAACTGCCTACTTCCCGTGCAAAGGACATTTGCCTGGGTCCTAAACTTAATTTTTGGAAAAAAAAAAAAAAAACAGATAATTCCATTTACAGGGGCATGGATGAATAACAAAAGTTGGTATTCCTGTAAATTAAGATGAAATGTGAAGAGAAGAAAGAGCTTTCACTTACTTGCTCGAAGGACTGAAGGTGTGACCTCAATTTCACTTGTTGCTTGGTAAGGATGAAAGGCTGAGACACTGTTGGTGCCAAGTTCACTACCAAATATCTCTGGGCTCTGGGTACCCGTTGAACTGGCACTGGTGCCATCACCTCCATGATGTGGATCCTGCTCATCAAACACTGCTACCAGCTAGAAATGAAAGGTAAATGTGCACTTAAAAATAAAGGCACTTAATTTACTACCAAAATTTTGTACTATTTTGACATAATTCTATAGTGCAAAACTACTGATATAAATGACCCTAGAATGGTAAGTTTCAGGAAGAAAAACCTCAAAGAAACAGTCTTTCCCTAAATTTTGATGCTTTACTTGTATAATTCTAAGTCGTACATTTCATATTCAAAAGTCTATGGGTAAAAAATAATAAAATTCTTTGCTATCACAGCATGCTAAGTCAGGGACAGATACAAATCTTTAAAATATAGGATATATATTTAAATGGAAAAGAAAAATGCAAAAGAGTGTGTGTATATATATGAGTATACATATATATCTGTGTGTGTGTGTATGTGTATACACACATGGTATGAACTACTATTCACATAAAAAGGGGATATTAAAAACTAAACATGTATCTTCTCATTTGTGCATAAGACACACGCTAAAGACAAACTGTTGTACAAATATTTATTCTAGTTAGTAAATTTGTTTCTCTTTAGCAATTCTCACTCTATTACACCCCCACACACACAAACACACACCAAGAATGAACAAAAGAGTGCAAATATTTTTGATAATGAAAGCAGATGTTTTCACAGAAACAGAAGTTACAGAGAAGAAAAAGTTAGAATAAACTGGTGTTCAGAATGGAATCCAGGACATCAGTATGAGCTCCGTTTTTGTTTGTTTGTTTTGTTTTGAGATGGAGACTTGCTGAGACGCCCAGGCTGGAATGCAACCGCATGATTTTGGCTCACTGCAACCGCCACTTCCTGGGTTCAAGTGATTCTTCTGCCTCAGCCTCCCAAGTAGCTGGGATTACAGGTGTATGCCATCACACCCGGATAATTTTTGTATTTTTGGTAGAGACAGGGTTTCAACATATTGGCCAGGCCAGTCTCAAACTTCCGACCTCAAGTGATCTGCCCATCTCAGCCTCCCAAAGTGTTGGGATTACAGGCATGAGCCACTGCTCCCAGCCAAACTCACAGTTTTTATAAATACATAGTTAGGTAAATACACAGACAAATGGGTAAGTATACCAACAACTGTTAATGAATGTCTGAGTATACAGAGTTCCCAGCTCTGTCCACACAGAGATCCTAGAAACAGTGGCATCCCCAGTGCCACTGAGCACACCTAGTATCCCGATCATGGTTTCTAATACCATTCTCCAGTTAATGAACAAGGGCTCCTTGACAAACGGTTGATTTCAGGGCTGTGGTCAGGGAAACACGTGGTAAGCCTGGAATACCTTGTGATGTCAAAAAGTATGGGGTACTCAAAAATGATGAAGGCACATCAAAGGGAAGCAGGTGTCAACCTGAAAGGGCTCCCAATGGACAAAGCTGGGACAACTTACGAACTAAAGAAATCATACTGGCATTGGATCATTATCCAAAGAATAAACTAAAATCCATGTGTCCATAATATAAATATTTGAACAAATAAATGGTAGAGAATAAACAGCTGTTCTCTGCTATAGCATTCCAAATAATACATAGAAGGAATGATGGCAACAGAAATCATCATTAGGCAACCGTCACAGTAAAAATTGTTCAGGTAAAATCTACTAATGGATGCTAACATTAATGGGTGTGAATATGATGATAAATGGCATATTTGCATAGCTCAGAATGTCTCCCCAGAAGAGTCATTTTGACTAAAAAGCAAAACAGCAATATCGTTGAAGTGGAGAAACTTGGCAGCCACTGCTGTACCCAGGTTAACATCATTCGTAGTAAGATGTAGCAATATCACGTACCATCTGATAAAATGCACTGGGAAGTATATAACATTACTTTTGTGGTATTCTTGCCAAAAATGTATAACTTCCATCTAATCGTGAGGAAACATCAGACAAACAGAAATTGAGGGATATTCTGAAACACAAATAAGGCTCTCCAAAAGTATCAAGGGTCATGAAAGTAAAAGAAAGAATGAGGAGAATAAGGAAATTATGCGAACTGGAGGAGTCTGAGAAAGAATGAGTACTACATGCAGTGGGAGGATAGAAAAAGGGCATTAGTGAAAAAATAGGCACAATTCTAATGAGCTCTGATTAGTTGACAGTACTGACTCAGTGTGAGTTTCTTACTTTTGATAATTGTTCTATGATTATGTAAAATGTTAACATTAGGGATAGATGAAGCGTATATGGAAATACTCTTTCCATAAAACCAACTTTTCTGAAGTATAAAATTATTTCAAATTAAGTTTTAAATGTTATATTTTAAAAAGCTATAAAAATAAAAAAATAACTCTATGTCTTCTTATAACTAATACAGTTCTTAGGATGCTAATATACTTCTTCTTGTAAGTCCCAAAGAGTAGGGAGGCACCGTGGCTCACGCCTGTAATCCCAGCACTTTGGGAGGCCAAGGTGGGTGGATCACCTGAGGTCACAAGTATGAGACCAGCCTGCCCAACATGGTGAAATCCTGTCTCTACTAAAAATACAAAGATTAGCAGGGCATAGTGTTGCATGCCTGTAATCCCAGCTACTCGGGAGGCTGAGGCAGGAGAACTGCTTGAACCCAGAAGGCGGAGGTTGCAGTGAGCCAAGATCCTGCCACTGTACTCCAGCCTGGGAAACAGCGCAAGACTCCATCTCAAAAAAATAAATAAAATAGAAAATATACCCCAAAGAGTAAAAAACTTCTAAGGATCCACAATGGCTGTCACCTTGGAGAGTCACCCTTCAATCCCACACCTAGCAACTCTGCTTAGCCTTCCAAGAAAAGAACCATGACTGGAACCAAAACAAACCCCTCCCCTGCCTCCAGTCCAAGCTTTTTCAAGGCCAATACTTGTCTCAGGTAAAAAACAGAAATGTGAATATACAGAATATGAGTGGGACTCATAATTACAGTCCTCCTTTTATAAATGGCTTTGTCATTTTGAACAAATGCTATTTCCATGAACATTTATATATCATCGATCCATTTACGACACAACAAAGAAAACCATTGTACAGTCACAAAGACAGACAGGAAGCTCAGAAACCTGCTGACGTATAGATAGAATCAGCTGATTAAACAATCTGGAAGAACCATAGCAGGGTTCATACCGTACCAGGGTACCTGGTATGAAGAAATCACAGTAGGATGAATAATTGGGCTACTCAACCTTATAATGAACAACATAAATGAGAAAAGAAGTCCTTAATATTCACAAAAAATGGAAAGGTATGCATATGTATACACCAAATTATCCATATATAGTAAAATCAGTTTGTTTATCTGACAGTGACTGGCAAGTGTCTGCCTGTATTAGAGGCACAGGCATGCCATTAGATTAGGGGTCAATTGGCAAACTTTTCCTGAAAAGAATAAAACAGTAAATATTTTTGGAGCTGTGGTCCATACTGTCTCTTTCATAACAACTCTACTCACCAATTATAGTATGAACGAGTACCAGTAGACAATACAAAAACAAATGACTGTGACTACATTTAAATAAAACTTTATTTATAAAATAAACAGGCCAAATTCGGTCCATGGTCCCTAATTTGACAACCCAGTCCAAGTATAATGCCCATCTTTCTAGTAACACGCAATTTTAGTTTCAGTTTGAACAATGAAACTAAAAGTCAAGGTACCTTTGTAGCCCCAAAAAAGTAAAAATACTCATTTCAAGCTCTGCATGAGGATTTTGGATTGCTACACTTGATTTTAATATCATCATACTTTTCATAAGGTGTGTGGCTTAATATGCATTGTCAAGATATTAAGTTTTGACATTTTGGTACTTAATTGGAAGCAAATGAAATTCATGTTTTGTTATTAACTTTTCACAATGATATGTTCTCTCAAGAATCAAGTCCTTTCTGCAAACTGAAAATGGAGATTGAAAATTACAAAGAACGAGTCTTTAAATGCCACACATGATGGAAGAGCTTATACATATATATTAGTTTCAATAATTATCTCCAGCATTTTTAGAAAACATTATAGAATCACAGTTGGTGCCAATAACATACAATTCTACAGCTTTCTTTTAAACCAAAATTTAAGTGCCAGGTCCCAATATGAAATAATTTTGTGTTAAATTGAGAAAGATATATAATTTTAGAAAATCTGCTCTAAAAGAATACATATAGCAACACAGCGCAAAAAAAAAAAAAAAATCACGGGGAACCTTCACAAAAAAACATTGCATATTAAAAATCTCTATCATGCCCTTCAAAAAGTAAAGGAAAACTCTTTTAAATTTGTGAAATGTTACTCAAATTCTAATTTAACAGATGGAATCTTTACTGCTGTCCACAAAGTAGATCATTTTGAAAGTTTATTTTTTCCTTGCAATAATTATTAATCTCTCTTCTGTTCCATTCATCTATCAAGTTTCTATGAGAAAAGACAGGCAGAATTTGGATAACACCTACAATAGCCCAAGTATAAAAAAACTCTAAACATTGTCACCCACTTTCCCCTACCTCAGGACAAGTCACTTTAACTATGAAACATCAGAACCCCCCAACAGAAAACCTGTTATAGAAACATCACACAGAAATGCTTATAAAACCCTTGGATCTAGGGAATCCCTTTAATAGGTAAAATTAAGGCCTGAAAGCCCACAACTGCATGTAGCGAAGTGGCTAACAGCAATAGAGAATCAGAGAAAGAAAGCTACATTCAAAGTCAGCTCTGACCTTATTTTTGGGGTAGCTGTCGGTAAATCCAGTGGCCTCTCTAACATCTCCAAACCTTACTCTCATTTGGAAAAGAGGATGGTGGTTGTGGGTAGACAGAATAATGGTCTCCCCAAAGTTATCCACCCCCAAACTCCTGGAACCAGTGACTGTTACCTTCTATGGCAAAAGGGACTTTGCAGACCAATGGAGTTTAAGAACCTTAAAATGGAAAGGTTATCCTTCATTATCCAGGTAGAGCCCCATCTAATTACATAAGTCTGGAAAAATGGAGAGCCAGGCCCGGCTGTGGCCAGAGAGAGACGTGATGATGGCC